TCCACAGCAACGAGTGGAAGTTTTGCCTTGTCAGGATCTGAATAAAACCCAGATTCATCAGGGAATTCAGACAGACCTTCACATGACGAGGGAATGCATGGCTAACCCACAGCCCCCAGTAAGCCGTAACTGGGCCACAGGCTAGGATTGACTTTCCTTTCAGCTTCCGATGACTGTCAAGTACAGTTGCTAAAACTGAAGAGAAGAAGCAACACCCAGGAAGGGGAGGAAGGAGGAACCCAGTAACGACACCCATGCCAAAGCAATGTGACTCCTTTCAGAGCTGCAGGCCCTATGACAAACCAGCACCAAGCCCTGAACATCTCCGCTTTATGGAATCACTTTGGGCACCTCAGACTAGACAGATGCGTGACGCCAAAATCACATTAAACATTCTGAGCTCCTCATATACAAGAGTTGGCAACTCATGACACCTCAAATGCGCCAGACCGCCTCACAAGGGGAATCCACATGGTTTCTCCTGGTGCACGCCGGATCGGCTCACCGCAGGGTGGAACACGTTGATGGCCTGCACGGCGGCCTTGCCCTTCTGCTTGAGGCCGAAGACCAGGTCGATCCACTGGCACAGGGTCTGCGACACGTAGTCCGACTCCAGGGCCTGCCGGTGGATGAGGATGAAGAGGCGGGGGTCGTTGCGAGCCCAGGGGGGCAGGTTGACGTGATTCACCCGCTCGCTGTTCTGACGCACCCCGAAGTCGAAGCCTGCGGCGCAATGGGAGGAAGAGGAGGAGGAGGAAGGGCGAATAAGGCTGGAATTCCGAGGCAATCGCACTGCTCCCAGTGGTTAGGCTTCTGCTCGTTTTCAACTAAATTTTTTAATTGGCGTCCTGCCCAGATTTCCCATTGGCCTTTACCAATCATGGCCTCCTAATAATTCCCATCCCTGAACTGGCTTCATCACTCTGTCCTCCCCACGGAGAGCTGGTGCCTGGTGAGTGTACTGGTGCACTATGCCTACTGTCACATCATCCAGGTGGATGCTGCACATTGGTGGTGGTGGAGGTGAGGTCCCTATTACCTGTAAAGCGTGTTGAGTGGAGTGTCCAGAAAAGCGCTATATAAGTGTAAGCAATTACTGTTGTTATTCATTTGATTACATTCACTACAGTCATAATGCTGGGGCTTAGATCGAGCCAAACCCAAAGCCAGTTTAATAAATAAAACCATGTGCTATACAAATTAACCAAAAAATGTACTTAAAATCAACACCGTAAATCCTGTGTGTTGCACTGAAAATCAGTTTTTGGTCAGATCACTTCTAATTTTTCCAGTAAAAGAAATCATTTTTCAGGGCCTGTTGATTTAGCTAGAAGACGTTAGAGCAAAGCAAAAAGATTATCCTACCTTCTCTGTTGACCAGGAACTCGGGGAGGTAGAAGAATTCCGGGATCAGCTCCTTCACATCCGTCATGGACTCGTAGGATGAAAGGCGCCATGTGGTATTCATGGAGTGGAACGTCCGGTCTGGGATATCAAAGCTTTGGTCTATGGGTTACGGAAGAGAAGGATTCACTATTAAAGCTCTTGATAATGACACTGCTTTTGTCGGTTTACAGGCTGCAAGGTCTGCATAATTTATGCATTAAAACAAAAAACCCTGGGAAGGGGGGGGATTATAAAAGGTCTGGCGAGCACTTTGAAGAGGAACGCATGCATGGAAAAAAACGGTAATAGACGGTAACCGAGTGGCAACTGCTTTCAAGATCAAAACTCTCATTTAAATGCACACCTCTAAAAAATAAGAAAGCAATTCAAATCCATTTAACCATCTAGGCACTGAATAAGCTTCCGTACATGATGTGCCAGAGTGGACTATATTGTACTGGTTGATCATACAGTGGAGAGACTTTGTGTATCCTGTGGATTCTATTTTTGTATGATACTATTATTATACGAGGCTCTGCAGCCATACTTCCCAGCGGAAGAGGGAGATTGATCACAGCAGGAACCACTGACGTCCATGGCAGCCTTACCTTGGTAGGCCAAGAACATTTTAGTGAAGGGAGGCATCCTGACCAGGAAGTGCAGCACAGTGCCGCTGTTGGAGTAGTGGGAGCCGTAGTGGTAGGGCTGGACCGGGGGCATGGGGTCGTCCTCGCGGGTGCCCTTCCGAAACTCCTCCTCCAGGTACTGCGCAGCGAGGCAGGAAAGGAAGAGCCCACCTGTGACCAACTCGCCATCGGGGCTGCTCTCGTGACGACTGCTACGGTCAGGAGATTTGCCAGCCCAGATGGAGAAACCTCACACTCTCTTAAGCAAGGAAGCTCTCCACCATGCAACGAAACACGACTAAGAGAATGTCAAGAAACTGACTGTTCGCCTTTCATACGAGGGCCAGAATATAAAGTTATCGCTACAAACTCTGAACATAAAGACATGGCGTCTGTCTTCATCACTCGGGACCCCAGCCATGCTCCCACACTGTGCTCCCTCAGTGCTCCACTCACCAGCTCACAGGAGCCGAAACGTGTAACAAGCAGAAGCTTGGTAATAAACAGAGCTTGTTTGTTATTATAGTTGGATAATTATTGCTTTTAGCCCATGATTATCTAAGCAGAATAGAATTACGCAGTAGAGGTAATGGACTTGTGTGGAAACAGACATCAAGGCCTATAAAAGTTATTAACTTTATGTTAAATGAGATCCATACTTTTATTATTACTATCCTTGCTTTTGTTTCGTCTGATTTCATTCAACTGGATTTTCCATACCCAGAGGACAAATACGTCGGCTGCGGACCACATTGTTAATAGACATAATTTGACAAGACAAGACAGCCAGGTCTCCGACGCAAAAGGAAATTAATTGGAAACAGCTTTTCTGGTAAATAAATGAAAAAGATCAGAAAGGATGAAACCGTCATCACCTTCCATCCTAGAAACATATAAATGATAAGGACAGCCGGCTGCCTCAGGTAACAGGGAACTCTGCAGTGAACCTTGATGACCTTTCTCCTGCTGAACGGAGTTTCCCACGGAATTCTGCCTTTACCTTATAGTTGTCGACGTATCGGTCTTCCTTCTCCTTGGATTGCACTGCTATGGGTTTCGCAAGGTTCCTGAGGAGAAACACGGGAAGCACTGAGCAGCAGAACAGTCTCAAGACTCCAGCTCGTCTCACCTCTTGCAAATCGGTTTGAGGCGCGTCTTTTTCCTTTTAAAGTCCTCAGTTAAAATCAGGGCTGTGCCCGTTCTTAGTGAGTCATGGCTGTTCCCTGGGCAGAGACTATATATATCTAGCAGGAGAAGTTACCTGGCTCCACCATTAAAGTTGCTCCTGGTGCACAGAACGTTTTAAGTAAAAAGACTTTACAATTAAGAGAATCCACATGGTGCAGTTTGTTTCTCATGTTTTTACAGGTGTGATCTGATGTCTGTGTGAAGTCATGGGTTTGTTTTAACAACACACTTCAGATTACTCAGGTTCCTCTCACACAACTCCATCTTCCACTCTGCGGGAACACTTTCTTGAACCCAACAAAGCCAGCCTAAAAATGTCGCGCAGTTCTGGGATCACTGGAATCTTTGCGTTGCTACTGTCACAGAAAACAAGCAGCAGCATCATTTACTAATCTCACATTCCGAAAGAGACAGAAAGCAGAGACACCGAGAGGGGGCAGACCTGTAGACAGCAGCGTCGTTGAGGTCTAGGGTCTCGCTGGTGTAATCGCTGAGGATGAAGGGGAACACAGGGTACTGCATGAGGTCACTGAAGGAGCGCCCTGCGTGCTTGTTCAGGTGGGTCAGGTACTCAAAGTTGGAGATCTGGCCCGAGCCCCACAGGTGCGTTAAGGCAGTGATGTTTCCGTACTCCAACAGATTGGGGAGGTTGGAAGTCAGGATGTTGTGGTAAACGTCATCGCGGACCTGAAAGGGGGAGACAGGTGGAACAGACATTTTTCTAAACTCTCCCGATTTCTCTCTTTCATTTCTTTAAGACTACCTAATGAGACAAAGCTGAAACGTTTCTCTTCTTATGCCCTGTAATTTCTACCACTAGCTAAATGTTTTTCTTTTGCAGGCTGGTATAATAGAGTTCCCCCATACAATTATGTGAATGTGTGAACCTTTCTGTACTCACCGAAAGAACCGCGCTACTGAGAAAGACTCAGCATGGGAACCCCCTACACACCGGCACCTCCGTGCCAACACAATCAGTCACCCCACGAACCCTCTTACAGATTTCACACAATTCAATTTTCTTTTCTTCTTGTACTGAAATTTCAAAATGCTGTAACCATAGAAACCACAGTCAAGTTCACCCAATTCAAGTTCTAAATAAGAAGAAGAACTCGGTGACTCATGGGGCACCGGGCGCCTTGCCTTGGCGTTGTCAAAGGCCAGCAGCAGAGTGCGCCCGTTGGTCAGGAAGATCTCCGCGGCGTTGTCCCGCAGCTGCCACCAGCGCTTGTGGGCCTCCTTGATCTCCTCGTAGGTCCAGGAGAACGAGGCGGGCTCCGTATCCCCGGGAGGGCTCTGGAAACGAGACACAGGCCGCGCCCGCAGGCTGCTTCAAACCCCTGCGGCATGCGGGCCCAGGGAGCCCCACCCCCACGGCCGCGCCTCCCGCAAGAAACCGCCCGCCCAGGATCACAGGCCTCACAACCTGCCGCCACAGCTGGAGTGGAAACTGCAGAGCAGCAGACGTCCGATGCTGGAAAGTCCAGCACTGGCATCAAGAGACGGACGATATATCTAATATATCCAATACTGAATGGTTTGCAAGCTCATCGGGGGTCACCCACAGCTCCTTCTGAGGGCACTCACCACTGCCATGCACAACCACCCCCACCCCGCCCCCGACCTCCTTCACGCAATGCCTAGAAACGGCAGGAAAAACAACAGGCAATCGACCAAAAGAAAAAAAACCCACAAACTTTCCTTCAGCTCCAGCATAAGGCCACAACGCCTTTTCACGGCAGACCTGGACAGATCCCAGAACAGATGCAGCGTTAAACTAGCTGGGTGTGAGACGAAGCCCAGTGTTGGAACTCATTGGACGGTTCCATTTGCTGGGTACTAGTGTGGTGGCTGCGCTCACAAAAAATTAATTACCTTTCAAAAGAAGCTGAAAATTCCCCGCACACAAGAAATGGGTTGTCTGCTGTGCTTTACTGCTCAGCAACAACTCTAGTTAGGTAACAGTGTCCATGACCTTTCATGAAGTATACTTAACCTTCTCAATTACAGAGAAAAGCAGTGTTCTTGTAGTAGTGTTTTTCAAGTGTTCTTGATGAGACAAGGAAGAATGGAAAGCTGAATGAAGAGGCTCCTTTGGCCAGCCACCACACCTTGTTCTCCAATAGCCTACGTCAAAATCCAGCATTGCACAACTATCGTCAAGAATGTACATCAGGCTCCTTGCTCTATTTCCGTCAACCCACTGGGGCTGAATTTCATAAGCCAGGACGTAATTTGGATGAACAATAGAGAAAAATGTTTTAGCAGTTCCAGGAAGAAGAACTGGTTTGGATTAGGGTATGCATTCAGGTATGTTCTCAGGCAAGCAGACACCTGCAGCAGCTGGTCAGGCTGAGCAGCACTACTAAACACAAAGAGGGTCGTCGATTTCCAGGGTAAATGGCGCAAGCATCTGGTCAAAACTGATCAAGGATGAGAAATCTTACTTGACTATCACAGGCATCAGTGGCATTGTCTTCCACGAAGTACATCCCAGACTTCCCTGCAAACAAAACGCAAACAAAGAAGGCAGAATAAGCGATCCATTAGCCCAACGACATCCACCCAGAAAAGCAGGTAACAACTGGGAAGAGGCTAACAAAACTGCAGCAAAATTAGAACAAGCACTTTGATGGAAAAAACCTACGGTGTTCTAAGAACATTTCTGATACATTTTACTATGCAGGGTGGTTAAACGGTTACCTAGAATAAAGTCAAGCGCTGGACTGATGGGGATTAGTAACCAGTGCTTACCCAAGAGCAGCTCCCCTGGTGTCTCCCTGGAGGGGGCCACGTTGATACACCTCCTGGTGAACCTACAGAGCCAGAACAATGCCAGAGGTCAGCTGCACAGCCTTCCATGGACACAGGCCTATACTTTAACAGTCTGATGTTTTGGCACCTAAGGTTACCAAGCCAAATCCAAAGGGGAATTATCTCCCTGCCACAAGCAGTGGTGCGACTACTACAGCAAGACAGGTGACTCTGGATTGGATATAAACCCACAGTTCTGACCAGAACATGTTAACTCGACAACAGTCACTTTTGCTAAAAGAAACATGACATCAGCAAAAGAGGAATGCATTTTCAGGTGGTTAGCAGAAGCATAAACCAAAATACAGATTTTTTGGCACATGTAGTCGATCAATTCTAAGTCTATCAATTCTTCCATATACAGTTGTTAATCTTATCGCCCCGCTTCAGGATTGGAGAGGGTGAGACAGACTACCAGCTCGGGGGAAAAAGAATCCCTGCTGTGGGTGCACCTCTGGAGAGCTCAGGGCTGCCTACCTGATGGCCTCGCTGGTGGCCTTGTCTTTCACCGTGGAGGAGAAGGAGGAATGAGTCTTGTCTTCGAAGAGGTACGCCAGGGGTGGCTTGACGGGCTCTACAGTGAAGAAGAAGAAAAAAGTCACTTAAAGGGACACGGGGCGGGCAGTGGGTGAACCGGTGGAGCAGCTGGTTACCAGCTGGTGAGAGAAGCCCTCACCATCGGGCTTTTGCCGGTCCTTCAGCAGGTACTTGTTGGGGATGGTCAGGTAGCACCGCTGCAGCCGGCGCCGCTCCCGGTTCGGGCCCTCGGTGGGGTCCAGCTGCCACGAGGTCGGGTAGGACGCCTGGTCGTACCACACCGCCCTGCAGGGAACACAGACGCGTAACTGGCTTCGGGAGGCCCCAGCTGACGCCCCACACCCCCCCCCAGTCGTGTCACCCACACCATGGGGAGCAGTGGGGTACAAACCAGCACCCATTACCCAAGACATCAAGGACTTCAGTTCAATACTTCACTGCCATAACCACTATCTGCAGGGAACTTGGTGAGAAAGGGAGACAAACGCGCCCAGTGTGGGGCACGAACCCACAACCCCGAGGTTAAGAGTCTCTTGCTCTACCGACTGAGCTAGCCGGGCTCAAACCTTCTGCCCGTGGTTGAAAGGTGAGTGGCTGGACTTCTCACCAACAGATTCAAGCACTACGGGTTTCGTGCTTTAACGACAGGCAGTGTTACAGACATTCAAATATCAAATCACATCTTCTGCTGAACATTCTGCACCACAAACGTGCATCATTGCTGTTGGTGAAAAACACACAAAAGGAGAAACGACTGCTCTGTGAACAGTAAGGAGGCGAGCTAGGAGAGACAGCCCAGGAGGGTGCTGTCCACGCCCACGCGGGCAAGCGGTCTGGACTGCTGTCTCCGTGCTGCGGAGGCGGAGGGGGCGCGCGGGGACGAGCTCACGGGAAGAGCCCTCTCTCACTCACTGACTCACCGGTCGTGCGTGAGTTGCTGTACCAGCTCCTGCCAGTGGCGGCTGGCGCTCAGCTCCACCTTGTACATCCCCCGGATGTGCTGGATGACTTTCTTCCTCTCCATGCCCTGGCGCAGGGACACGTTCTGCGTGATGTCGGCCGCGATCTTGGAAATGTCCTTGGACTTGCTGTCCAGCCGCTGGATGAGACTGCGGGGAGGTGGGATAGGAGTTTCTGATGAGATCCCTTCAGTACTTTAACGTTGCTCTCGCGTGACCTTCAGGAAAGGCGGGGATGTACTGTACCTGTGTTGGACATTTGCCATTTTCTTTTCCCAGGCGGCTTTGCTATTTTTTTCTTCGGATTCATATTTCAGCTGTTCCTATAAAAACAAAAAGCTGGGCATGAAGGTAGCTAGAGGATAACGTGACAAAATTAGTTTTCACACAGCAGATCCCACCACCGTAACCCTTATTATATCCTAATTAAAGACAGAGACTAGAATGCCTTTGGGTTATTGTGCATTATTGTTTCTTTAGCGGTGGGAAGGGAGCCCGACGCGTCTCACTCCGGCTCACACGAGACGAGTTCGACGTCGCCACGGGGACGGCGGCCTGCTTACCTCTTTGATAGCCTTCATGAGGTCGGGCTTGGGCGGGGCACTGGGGGGGATGCAGCGATGGCCACACAGCTTCAGGGAGGTCATGAAGACGCCCACGGCGGCCTGCTCCTCCTTGGACAGATGCTCCTTGTGATCGTGCAGCAGCTCGTAGAGGTATAAGGCTAATTTTGGGCCGTGCTGTGACCAGCAATGCCCCCAATCCCCAAAAAGAAAAAAAGAAGAAAATAAAAAAGGACTTTTTTTTTTTTAGAAGAGTGACCATACAAATCCCACACTGTGCCACTTCAGTTGTGAAAAAAAAGGTTTTCTTGAGTGATCTAAGTTTTGCTTTCCACTTTCTGTCCCAACAGTTGCCAGAGATGCACCGAGAGAACAAAGCTGGTTGCCATGGCAACACAAGCAATGAGCCCGATAATGAAGACCTCCTCGAGTTTTTCTTCAGAACAGCAGCTTGGCAGATGTCTAGATATAACGCGCTGGAAAATGGCACTTGCTGGCAGCTGAAAGGTTACTTGCCTTCCAATTTTGAGAATTTTTTCTGTTCGTTAACGTCAAAAATTTGTTTCGATGGCCTACCATCACAAGACGCGCCTCCGAAAATTGACTTTTTTTTTTATTTTGGTGCGTCTAAGGCTGGAGCTCCATTTCTTACAAAAAAGTAATTATTCACAAAATAGCTTTTTCATGTTAAGGACACGGTTATCGATTTTATGTCTGGTTGTCTCACCCTTTGAAAACAACACTTCACAAAACTGCTCTGTCACTCAGCTCCAAAAAGCACCACGAATAAAATTTTCAATGCATGAGGATCTGAGCGCAGGCAGTGTCTTCCATGCACCACGCCAGCTTGCTCTGCAGGATATACAGTATACATGGAAGTGCATTTACAACTGAGAACAGGGGGCACTTTTTAACACCAAGCGTGGTGGCAGTGGGGAACAAGCTGCCCAGCCATGCTGTTGAAGTCAATACCCTGGCATCTTCCCAGCTGGATGAGATCCTCCAGACAGGACAGGAGGCACTGTTTTACACAAAGGCTGGTGGGAGAGTGAAACAGGCTGACAAATCATGCTGTTCATGCCGACACCCTGGTTTCTCTCAAGAAACCACTGGAGGAGATCCTTGGATCGATTAACTACAAACTATCGAAGTGATCTGATAAGCTACACGGTCTCTCCCGGTTCATAGCCTTTCTTAAGTTCTTACATTGGACACCTGCTGGACTGGTTGTCTGCGAAAGGAACTGACCTCCAGGCCTGGGCTGAGGCACTCACGCAGGATGTCGGGGTGACTGTGGTCGTTGACGATCTCCAGGGCATGCTTCCTGTGCTCCAGGGGACGAGCCGGGCACAGGATGTGGACCAGCAGGCGGCCCATTTGGACCCGGAAGGTGTCCCGACAGGACCAGAGAATTCGCCTCCACTGGCTCCGGGGGGCACTGCCTCGGCCCCCAGTGCCCTGAGGGAGACAAGCCCACACAGCCGCACACATTAGCAGGAACCCCTCCTACCGCTGTCATGGGCATCTCGATTCTTACGCTTACTGGAGAGGACTGGTGGCACTGTGGCTAAGGATCTGTGCCTGTGGCTGGAAGGTTGCAGGTTCAAATCCTACTCCGTTGGGCCCCTGAGAAAGGCCCTTAACCCCAGCTGCTCCAGGGGTGCCGTATAAGTGGCTGACCCTGCGCTCTGACCCCAAGCTTCTCTCCCTGTCTGTGTTTCTCATGGACACACAGACAAATTCCTAATGCAAGAAATTGAATATGGCTAATAAAGTGATCTTATCTAATTCTCAAATTAGAGAGGAAACACAGTTGATCTCTGGTTCATCATCCACACACTAAACGGATTTGGTTGCAGAGTCAAGAACATTTCCTCCAACAGGAAGGAAATTGTATATGGCTAATAAAGTGATCTTATCTTACTGTCCTCAAAGCAAAGACCTCGAAGACAATACAAGCACACAGACCGGTTCCAGCGCGTGCTCTTCGCATGACCAGCAGGGGGCTCCAACACAACACATGTGGAGACTCCGAGCACTGACGCTGCCCGTCGATACTCGATTATTTCAACGGGGGCTTTCAGGAACTCACAAAGCCTGATTTGATTCCTTCCATCATGAGCTTCAGGATCTCCTTCTGAAACGTCTTCATGTTGGCAGGGGGGGCTGGGGTGCCGTTTTCCTCTGGGTGCTCACACTGGGCACCCGCAGCTTGCTGGTGGCTGGGGGACTCGGGGATATTCAGGAGGTCAAAGAAGTCCTGGCTGACATCTACAGACACGGAGAGGCCAGAATTAGTACATTAGTGCAGCTTCACGGCGCACATCAATACACACGTGGCTCTCCCAAGACAAAACTCACACAGCTTCCGAGGTGAGGAAACAAAACACTTGGAAAACATTATTTTATAGTGTTACTTCACAGATCTAAGGCTAGAAGAAAATGAACTGCTACTTTAAAGGAAATAAAAACAAATATCAATTCCGAGGAGAACTGGGCTTTTTCCTTAGGAAAACAAAGCCTGGGTACTGACTTTGCAAACAAGAGTCTACAGCTCATAAAACCTAAAGCAGATTGAAGTGCTGTGCAGTGGGAGTCTTACCAAGCTCCTGCCACTCATTTCCTTAAGTGTTTAAGGAGAGCAAAACCGCAGATGACTGCAGCTCTGGATCAAACTCGCATGCAACACCAAGACACAACAAACATTTATTAAAACAAAGACATGCCAACAGCCATATCACCCGGCAGTTCACAGCTGGCAGCCCACTGGAGCCCAGCAGGTGTGAGCTTGGTCAGTACCTGGATGGGACACCTCCTGGGAAAAACTAAGGTTGCTGCTGGAAGAGGTGCTAGTGGGGCCAGCAGGGGGCGCTCACCCTGTGGTCTATGTGGGCCCTAATGCCCCAGTTTAGTGACAGGGACACTATACTGTAAAAAGGCACTATACTGTATACGTCCTTCGGATGAGACAAACCCAAGGTCCTGACTCTCTGTGGTCATTAAAAATCCCAGGACATTTCACGAAAAGAGTAGGGGTGTCCTGGCCAAATTTCCCATTGGCCCTTACCAATCATGGCCTCCTAATAATCCACATCTATGAACTGGCTTCAACACTCTGCTCTCCTCTGGTGTGTGGGGAGCGTACTGGCGCACTATGGCTGCACACTGGGGGTGGAGGGGAGTCCCCATCATCTGTAAAGCGCTTTGAGTGGAGTGTCCAGAAGAGCGCCGTATAAGTGTAAGCAATTCTTCTTATTAAGAGTTCTATGGGGTTTTAGGACCGTGCTATGGGGTTTCACCTTGGTAGATGAGCCTGTTGACGGCCAGCACGGTCAGCCTCTGCAGCCGCTGCACGTACTCCGCCTCCGCCGCGCGGATGGGGTTCTCCTGGCTCATCCTCCTCTGCATCATCACCGCCAGCTCGTCGCTGGCCACGGAGCGCAGCTGCGTCAGCAGGGAGTCGGACTGCGCCAGGGAGAACCTGCGAGGGCCTGCGCACGCGCACGCACAGGGAGACACGGCGTTAGCCAGCTGCCCGAGCTCGAGACGAGAGGGGCTTCCACAGCTACCGAGCACTGCAGCACGCGAGAAACCTCAGCTTTCCAGTTTGGAAAGGAAAATAATATTAAGAAAACCCATACGCTAAAAGAAATTTGCTTTTATTATTATTGTTTGGAATACTCGTACATTTACTCCCAGCGTCTTTCACTCACTAAATTCTACTCACATACTACAAGCACTTTGAGAATCTACTTTCAAAGGCACTATATAAAATGAATTTAATATTATTATTTTCTCTAATCACACTTTGAGAAACTTGGAAGACTTCCACAGATAACTGTAATGCAACAAGTACCACTGCAAAACGCTAAATGCACCGTAAGAGATATCTCAAGCACACCGTTTTGGGTTTTGGAGCCTCCCGGTCAGAAAAGGAGGGAAATTGCCCTTTTGTAAGTTTAGAAGTTTAGAACGGTTCAGGCAACAGACATTCTCACCTATGTAATAACAACCTCAAGATACCAAGCCAATGAAAGAAAAGAGCATCACAATTCACACAGGCTAGCTTCTGAAGCAACTCCATAAATATCTGTAATGGGATTATGCTTAGTTCTTACCCCAGGCGAATTTACATTTGATCAGTTATCCATTAAATCCAAAAAATAATCAAATGAAAGCCTATTAAAACATCGTAACTCAACAGTTCTTTGGGTTTTCAGAGCATTATGAAAAAATCTTAATCACGAGACTTGAGCGCTGGCATTAGTAAGGTGAGAGGTAAATCGGTTTCATGCAGTTATCTTCATTTCTAAGGCTGGGGGACCAGCTGTCTCCCTCCCTGCATTGCAGTGAGCTGGCGTCCCTTCGCGCGAGGCACACCGTCAGGAGAGATCTTTCACTACGTTCAAGGAATAATACAAAAAAAAAAGAAATTCCGACAGCAGGAAAAGGGAGTCAGATTAGATGCAGCGAGCAAGGCACCAGTGATCGCTCGGTCACTGGGCGAGTCAGAGGTTTTCATGCGCGAGTTCTCTAGGCTAAGTGCCCGCAATGGAGAAACATTCTGGAGGAAGGGGAATGTTGTCCTCCATTGGAGCGGACAGGCACGGAGGCCATTACTGCACCTGTTTCACTGGGAAAGACATAGCCCGGGGATCCCGTGGGGGACGGGAGGGGAGACTCCAGGGAGAAAAAGCCGTAGGAAGCAGGCAGCGGAATCTGCCCGAAGGAACAGTAATGCTGTCTCGGGATGCGTGGGATAATGGAGTCTTTCATGGCAATTGAACCTTGGTTTCAAACAGGTGCAAAAATAACAGAACAAGGAGAGCTGTGAGTGACCCGCGCGCAGGTGACGACGGCCGCCTGTCCGACGCACAAGGGAGCCCACGCTACTGGGGGAAAAAGGCTTCAGGCTCCCTGGTCACACCAGGGGTGAGACCCTTTGTTTGCTCACTGAACATCATGCTGTCCGGCCTCAAAACGGCGCAAGGCAATTTGCAGAAACAGTTAAGAGGATATAAAAAAGTATTTTGTCAAATTCCTTATTGCAAGAGGAAGACGTCGTTCATTGCTCTGTATAACCTACGACTCGGAGGTTTTCTTACTCCAACCCCCCATTCCAGTCACCACAAACACTGATGCCCTCACTCCAATGTGAACTGGCATTGTTCAAGCTGGAATACAGAGTCACGATACTCTTACAATACCCACATTTACTGTTATCAATGACACAGACCCTTGAATTTAGATTTATAGTATAATATGTAATTCTTCTGATTAGGTGAAGTACTTTTACAGTAGCTATGGTGAGGGAGAGATTACAGCATTAATGATCATGCTATGTGCCCTAGATGAGTATGCTGAATGTGAATACCTACTGTATATCTTGCAGGGGTCTTTTCTCACCTGCAATGCTCTTGCGCTTCTGGTAGATGGCGCTGTGCTGGAGAGGAGGTAGGTGCACTGAGCTGCTCAGCTTCTGGGGGTCCTGATTTGCTGTCGTCTTGATGAACTCTATGGCTGACTGGAGAACCCGGAACTGCAGAGCCACAGCCATTTCTACACACATCAGGGAAAAGGGAAAAGGGAGGAGTGAGACATGCAGGAAGACATTCCTTCCCTGTCGATGGAAGGATCTGTGTTGGTAAGAGCTGGGCGGAAAAAAACAAAACTGCAACTGAGATTTTATGCACTTGTGTTCAGAAGGCAGGTCAATTAAGGGGACAGACTAAATCAGTTACCATTAAGGCAAATTTTCCATTTTTGGTTTATTGACAAGGGTGCTTACGACATTACCAGGCATTACTGTAGGCCAGTGTTCTTCAAATTCAGTGCTTGAAGGCCACAGGGTCTAACAGTTTCCATTCCATTTTTAGGTAACTATAGTTAGACTTTAGTTAATTTAACTAATTACTCTCTTATTTCAACCACTTACTCCATTTCCCAGGTCTAAGGAAGGTCATGATTCCAAGAGAACTGTAATGATTGTGGGTTACCCTAACTCCCAATTACTTTCCACCTGCTAGCTGGATTCTATATAGGGATCTCCTGGCTGGGACTGTGCCCCGTGGTCCCGAATCGACTCTGCCTGCCAGAAGCCCCTAGGCCTTACCCTGTGTGCGCTTGTTCTTGCTGGTCTGCAGGTAGCCCAGCAGCGTGATGAGGTCCTCGATGATGCGGAAGTACTGAGAGCCCGAGGAGCTGCAAGAGTGAATGGTCACCGCCACCAGCACCTGCTGGATGTCACACACCAGGAGCTTGTAATCGTTCAGCGGGATCCTGCGAAGGGGACCAGCAGAAAGGAGCCATCACACCCAGACCGTACAGCCTTCAGACAGCCATGATCTACACATCCTTATACAACAGCAGATCCTTCCTTCTGCTCAGCTTCTGGAAGATCTGTACAGATGGCACTATAAACAACAAGTGATCCGCTGTACTTCAGTAATCTGATAGGTGCTATAATATAATACTCTATTCTGATAGGTCCTATACAAATATGAATAAGAAAAATAAAAGAGTTATAATCTAGAGGCTGGTGATCTCATTTTAACACCTTGTGGAAATTAGTTTATGAAATCCCACCACAATGTAATTGAAGGGCAGTGGGGTTTTTCCAGGGTCAGATGTGGGTTTTGCTGCTGGTTGCTCTGCTTCAGGACCCTCAAGGGGTAAGATCTGAATTAGGTCAGAGACCAAGCGCTGCGAGACAAGTCAGTTACCTGTTCTCCAGGCCATTGAGGGCCGCCAGCGTGTTGAAGAGCACGTAGAGGAGCCCGTTGTCCAGCAGGATGTCGGCCAGCTTGGAGCAGGCGTTGAGCAGCTGCAGGAGGACAAACAGCGTGTTGTGCACCAGCGTGTTCTCGTACAGGGAGTTCTCGATCAGCCCCAGAACCGGAATGATGCATCTCTTCAAGAAGGGGTCGACCTTCTCCATGTCCTCCAGGTCAAGGCTACACAAAAAGGTGAAGAAGAAAAAGGAAGAGCTCACTTTTTTGGTGGCAAGATCAGTGTAGTAAGCACAGAATCTCACTTGTATCTCCCTTTTTGGATAGTTTCAGAAAAACCGTGCAAGAGGCCTCTTGGACATAATTAATGACTCTTCTGGCGAATGTGGAAATGCGAACTAGGTTCAACAGATACATAGAGGTCAGGATCTGTAACTCTCTACTCCCTCCCTCTCTCTCTCTTTACTCACTCCTCCTCCATGCCCACCGGACGGCCGAACATCATCTCCAGGAAGCACTCCAGGAGCCCCTGTGTCCCCTGGTGCAGGTACAGCTGATTGGCCAGCAAGGAGAACCCATAGTTCTTGAGGAACTTCTCTCTCTGATCCTTTGTTGACCGGATAAAGTACGCATCCAGCAGCTTTAGGAAAGAAAGATGAACAGTCATTTCTGTTGTATAACTCCTTAACTGTTGCTACTTCATGTTAACATCAATGTAAAACACATAAGAAGTGTGAACCTCCTGTTCACATGATAAGCATCTCCGTGGTTAAGAGACATGCTCTACAGTACATGTGCTGATATGAATTACTGCGATGTGAAGCTCAAATTAGTTCTGTTTGACATAAGTTGCCATGGTCGACCTCATCACATGGAGCTCATTTTCCAACTCCAGACTCTTCCAGAAGGCACATCTAACAAGGAGGGAAGAGTAAGGAGAAAAGCAGGGAAAACAGGAAAGGGGAGAAGAGAGGACGCAGGCAGCAGAAGAAGAAGCCCCACCTTCATGACTCCCAGCTGTATGAGGGGCGAGGGGTGGTTGACCAGGACGATGAGAGCCTCCGGCTGGATCAGCTTGTCCATCACGTCTTCCAGCATGAGGTCCGGCAGGAGCAGCAGCACGCCCCGCAGCAGATCGTACAGGCCGCAGCAGATCAGCACCAGGCAGTCCTCCGTGCTGGACCTGCAGGCACGCCGCAGCACGAGTCACAAACCCTGCTCAGACACTGCACTGCCAACATTCAAGGCCTCATCTATGGGAGGAGGACTGTGCTTCACACAGAGGCTGGGTCTTCCTTTAAATAACACTGCTGTTTTTACCCCCGCACTATGAAACTATTAAACTCCCAGCCTCTCGTAGAGCCTACGATCTGCACCCTTACGGTGCCTTCTTTCTTTCTCAAAACGTGAACGCACATTGAAATCTCCCTCTACCTCACGTGTCGAGATGTTTACTCTCCATAATTTTGTATCCTTTACTTAATTCTGTCGTTGTTTTGCACATTACCTGTTACCTGTTGTTGTCTTGCACATTATCTGTTGTTTGCACTACTTACCGTCTGAGAGCTAGCTAAATATCATTTTGTTATACCATAAACCTGTGTCTGAGTATAATGAAAATAAACTTCAACTTAAACTTGTTCTTTAGGAAGAGGTCATTAAAGCAGTATTACTAATACAAAAAAAACCCAAGTATTGTT